TTTAAGAAGAAGATGAAGACCATATAGAAGTCACTGAAGGACATGGCTGCTCAAATCAAAGACTTCCAGAGCAAGCCAAGGCCCCCGTCTCCCATTCCCGAAGTAAGAAGAAGCGGATCCACGAGTTCAACTGCAAGAAGGGCTGACAGGATTGACCAACCCCGAGCTTCATCATTTGAGCCTCGAGAAGTGATCTCCGACCTGAGAGTCCAAGGAGAAGGCAGAGGAGAGCATCCACACGCTAGACCACCTACTAGACCGGAGATGACGAGCAAAATCTGCCCGCTTCAACATCAGTTCCTGCTTATACTCAAGAGAGTATGGACGATTTCGTCTCTGTCTAGTAGTGAGGTAACACCACCACCACTATTGTATGTACCATAGCTTTTTATTTTTATTTGTTTGTTGTTTGTTTTGGTCTTGAATTCTCTTTCAGATTTTTATTAACTCTGTAATTTAAGTTTGAGGGAGAGTTCAAGACGTATTTCACATTGTGTTCCTTTTCTTAACTCAAATTTTGCATCATCTAAGGCATAGAAAAAAACCATAAAGTTTTGAAAATTTTCAGAAAATCATTTCACAAAAACAGAGTGTCAAGTAGATTGCATTGCATTTTACGATTGTATATAGTGATCTTGCATTTAGGATTGCTCATTTGCATAGGGATAATGATGATTTTAAACCTATGAGCATTTAAATTCAGTGAAGTAAGTTCAATGCCCAGGTTGTTAGTTCTCAGCTGCATAACCGATTGTTTCTCTGAAGTAAGACCGCACCCCACTTTGATTTTACAACTTGACTATACTACAAGAAAACCTGCATTTTGGGACGGTTAGTTGTGACCTTTTATTCAGTCACAAAATATAGTGACTTCTATGTGACGATTTTGTGACTGTACAACGACCACGATATAAGTAGATGCAAAACAGTCGCTAATTAACGATGGATCTTAGTTGTCGGAAAACAGTCACAATTAAGCGACTCTATTCGGACCTTTTTGCGAAGAAAGAATAATGGTCGCAAATTCATCGCAAATAGCGACCAATTACCTACGTATTACCAACCCTCGATTTTTGCATTTTGAAATTTTAAAGTTTTGGTCTGTTTATATGTTTTCTTATACGTTGATACTTTAGTTTGATCGATATTACATATAAAAAAATAACCAAACACTCGAATTCTGAATTTTACAAACTAAACATTCAAAAAAACCTAATCTATATGATAAGTTCCATGTTCTTTCATTTTCATGATTGATATTTTCAAACAAGTTCTAAAATAAGTTATGAAACCAATGATTTATATACCTAAAGATCTGTATGTACTCTATATCAATAAACTGGGTGCTTTTCAATAATTTTTATCAATAGATTGGATCAAACTATGTGTATTTCAAAAGTTTGTCTTCTCAAGTTTTCCAAAACGTCACAAAACAGTCGCTCTTTGTAACTTATTTGCGACGAAAAAAGAAAACAATCGCACTTTGCAACCAATTACCTACGTATTACTAACTCTCGATTTTTGCATTTCAAAATTTTAATGTTTTGGTCTGTTTATATGTTTTCTTATACGTTGATACTTTAATTTGATTGATAGTATATATAAAAACATAACCAAACATATCAATTCTGAAATTTACAAACTAAACATTCAAAAAACCTAATCTATATTATAAATTCCATGTTCTTTCTTTGTCATGATTGATATTTTTAAACAAGTTCTAAAATAAGTTACGAAACCGATAATTTATATACCCAAATTCTGTATGTACTCTATATCTCTAAAATGGGTGCTTTTCAGTATCTTTTATCAATAGATTGGATCAAACTATGTGGATTTCAAAAGTTTGTCTTCTGAAGTTTTCCAAAACTTCACAGAACAGTCGCTCTTTGCAACTTATTTGCGACAAAAAAAAAAAAGCAGTCGCAGTTTGCAACCAATTACCTACGTATTACCAACTCTCCATTTTTGCGTTTTGAAATTTTAAAGTTTGGTCTGTTTATATGTTTTCTTAGACGTTGATACTTTAATTTGATCGATATTAGATATAAAAACATAACCAACACTTCAATTCTGAAATTTACAAACAAAATATTCAAAAAAACCTCATCTATATCATAAGTTCCACGTTCTTTCAATGTCATGATTGAAATTTTTAAACAAGATCTAAAATAAGTTACGAAACCGATGATTTATATACCTAAAGTTCTGTATGTACTCTATATCTCTAAAATGGATGCTTTTCATTAATTTTTATCAATTGATTGGATCAAACTATTTGTATTTCAAAAGTTTGTCTTCTGAAGTTTTCCAAAACTTAACAGAACAGTTGCTCTTTGCAACTTATTTGCGACAAAAACAAAAACAGTCGCACTTTGCAACCAATTACCTACGTATTACCAACTCTCGATTTTTGCAATTTGAAATTTTAAAGTTTTGGTCTGTTTATTTGTTTTCTTAGACGTCGATACTTTAATTTGATCGATATTAGATATAAAACCATAACCAAACACATCAATTCTGAAAATTTTTACAAACTAAACATTCAAAAAACCTAATCTATATCATAAGTTCCATGTTCTTTCATTGTCATGATTGATATTTTTAAACAAGTTCTAAAATAAGTTACGAAACCGATGATTTATATACGTCAAGTTCTGCATGTACTCTATATCTGTAAAATAGATGCTTTTCAGTAATATTTATCAATAGATATGATCAAACTATGTGGATTTCAAAAGTTTATCTTCTGAAGTTTTCCAAAATGTCACAAAACAGTCGTTCTTTGCAACTTATTTGCGACGAAAAAAGAAAACAGTCGCACTTTCAAACAATTACCTACGTATTACCAACTCTCGAATTTTGCATTTTAAAATTTTAAAGTTTTGGTCTGTTTATATGTTTTCTTATACATTGATATTTTAATTTGATCGATATTAGATATAAAAACATAACCAAACACTCGAATTCTGAATTTTTAAAACTAAACATTCAAAAAAACCTAATCTATATGATAAGTTCCAGGTTCTTTCATTGTCATGATTGATATTTTCAAAATAATTTTAAAATAAGTTATGAAACCAATGATTTATATACCTAAAGTTTTGTATGTACTCTATATCACTAAACTGGGTGCTTTTCAATAATTTTTATCAATAGATTGGATCAAACTATGTGTATTTCAAAAGTTTGTCCTCTCAAGTTTTCCAAAACGTCACAGAACAGTCGCTCTTTGCAACTTATTTGCGACGAAAAAAGAAAACAGTCGCACTTTGCAACCAATTACCTACGTATTACCAACTCTCGATTTTTGCGTTTCGAAATTTTAAAGTTTGGTCTGTTTATATGTTTTCTTAGACGTTGATATTTTAATTTGATCGATATAAGCTATAAAAACATAACCAAACACTTCAATTCTGAAATTTACAAACTAAACATTCGAAAAAACCTAATCTATATCATAAGTTCCATGTTCTTTCATTGTCATGATCGATATTTTTAAACAAGTTCTAAAATAAGTTACGAAACCGATGATTTATATACCTAAAGTTCTGTATGTACTATATATCATAAAAATGGGTGCTTTTCAATAATTTTTTATCAATAGATTCGATCAAGCTATGTGGATTTCAAAAGTTTATCTTCTGAAGTTTTCAAAAACGTCACAAAACAGTCGCTCTTTGCAACATATTTGCGACGAAAAAAGAAAACAGTCGCACTTTGCAACCAATTACCTATGTATTACTAACTCTCGATTTTTGCGTTTCGAAATTCTAAAGTTTGGTCTGTTTACATGTTTTCTTAGACGTTGATACTTTAATTTGATCGATATTAGATATAAAAACATAACCAAACATATCAGTTCTGAAATTTACAAACTAAACATTCAAAAACCCTGATCTATATCATAAGTTCAATGTTCTTTCATTGTCATGATTGATATTTTCAAACAAGTTCTAAAATAAGTTACGAAACCGATAATTTATATACCTAAAGTTCTGTATGTACTTCATATAACTAAAGTGGGTGCTTTCAAAATTTTTTTATCAATAGATTGGATCAAACTATGTATATTTCAAAAGTTTGTCTTCTTAAATTTTCCAAAACGTCACAGAACAGTCGCTCTTTGCAACTTATTTGCGACCAAAAAAGAAAACAGTCGCACTTTGCAACCAATTACCTACGTATTACTAACTCTCGATTTTTGCGTTTCGAAATTCTAAAGTTTGGTCTGTTTACATATTTTCTTAGACGTTGATACTTTAATTTGATCGATATTAGATATAAAAACATAACCAAACATATCAATTCTGAAATTTACAAACTAAACATTCAAAAAACCTAATCTATATCATCAGTTCCATGTTCTTTCATTGTCATGATTGATATTTTCAAACAAGTTCTAAAATAAGTTACGAAACAGATAATTCGCTGTGGGTCCCACCCGCTATGTAGGGATACCCCATCTAGTCTTAACGAACTTTGATGCGTGAAAAAATTCTAAAACAATGTTTGAACAAGTAATTTTGGGTCCGTAATATAGCCCAAATCACAAAAATGCCCGAAAAAGTACTTAAAGATCAAAATTTGGGGTCGAGAAAAAGTCAATGGAAAGGCTCCATTGTCATGCTTCTTTCGTCGGAGGGCTCTCTTTGGGCTTTACGAATAGGTATCACATGTCAAGTTTGGCCTCACGGTATAAAAGTTATAGAGTCATAAAATTTTAACCAAAAAAAACAAATTAAAAAAAAAGAGGGATGCAACACGAGGACTTCCCGGGAGGTCACCCATCCTAGTACTACTCTCGCCCAAGTACGCTTAACTAAAGGTCAAAATTTGGAGTCGACAAAAGATCAATGCATATGTTCCATTGTCCTGCTTCTTTCATCGGAGGGCTCTCTTTGGGCTTTCCGAAAAGGTATCATATGCCAAGTTTGGCCTCACTGTATAAAAGTTAGAGTCATAAAGTTTTAATCAAAGAAAAAAATTAAGAAAAAAGAGGGATGCAACACGAGGACTTCTCGGGAGGTCACCCATCCTAGTACTAATCTCTCCAAGCACGCTTAACTGCGGAGTTTTGATGGGATCCAGTGTATTAGTGCTCGTATGATCGCATCCGTTAGTATATGCAATGCAATCGTATATATTCTTTTTTGAAGACATGATGAACCATTTGTAATGGGTCCCACCCGCTATGTAGGGATACGCCATCTAGTCTTAACGAGCTTTGATGCATGAAAAAATTCTAGAACAATGCTTGAACAAGTAATTTTGGGTCCGTAATATAGCCCAAATCACAAAAATGCCCAAAAAAGTAGTTAAAGGTCAAAATTTGGGGTTGACAAAAAGTCAATTGAATAGTTCCATTGTCCTGCTTCTTTCGTCGGAAGGCTCTCTTTGGGCTTTCCGAAAGGTATCACATGCCAAGTTTGGCCTCACGGTATAAAAGTTATAGAGTCATAAAGTTTTAACCAAAAAAAAATAAATTAAATAAAAGAGGGATGCAACACGAGGACTTCCCGGGAGGTCACCCATCCTAGAACAACTCTCCCCCAAGCACGCTTAACTAAAGGTCAAAATTTGGAGTCGACAAAAAAACAATGGATATGTTCCATTGTCCTGCTTCTTTCATTTGAGGGCTCTCTTTGGGCTTTACGAAAAGGTATCAAATGCCAAGTTTGGCCTCACTGTATAAAAGTTATAGAGTCATAAAGTTTTAATCAAAGAAAAAAATTAAAAAAAAAGAGGGATGAAACACGAGGACTTCCCGGGAGGTCACCCATACTAGTACTACTCTCACCCAAGCACGCTTAACTGCGGTGTTCTGATGGGATCCGGTGTATTAGTGCTTGTATGATCGCATCCGTTAGTATATGCAATGCAATCGTATATATTCTTTTTTGAAGACTTGATGAACCATTCGCCATGGGTTCCACCTGCTATGTAGGGATACCCCATCTATTCTTAACGAGCTTTGATGCATGAAAAAATTCTAAAACAATGCTTGAACAAGTAATTTTGGGTCTGTAATATAGCCTTGATCACAAAAATGCTCGAAAGAGTACTTAAAGGTAAAAATTTGGGGTCGACAAAAAGTCAATGGAAAATTTCCTTTGTCCTGCTTCTTTCGTCGGAAGGCTCTCTTTGAGCTTAACGAAAAGGTATCACATGCCAAGTTTGGCCTCACGGTATAAAAGTTATAGAGTCATAAAGTTTTAACCAAAAAAAACAAATTAAAAAAAAAGAGGGATGCAACACGAGGACTTCCCGGGAGGTCACCCATCCTAGTACTACTCTTCCCCAAGCACGCTTAACTAAAGGTCAAAATTTGGAGTCGACAAAAAAACAATGGATATGTTCCATTGTCCTGCTTCTTTCATTTGAGGGCTCTCTTTGGGCTTTTCGAAAAGGTATCACATGCCAAGTTTCGCCTCACTCTATAAAAGTTATAGAGTCATAAAGTTTTAACCAACAGAAAAAAATTTAAAAGAAAAGAGGGATGCAACACGAGAACTTCCCAGGAGGTCACCCATCGTAGTACTACTCTCGCCCACGCACGCTTAACTGCGAAGTTCTGATGGGATACGGTGTATTAGTGCTGGTATGATCGCATCCGTTAGTATATGCAATGCAATCGTATATATTCTTTTTTGAAGACTTGATGAACCATTCGTCGTGGGTCCCACCCGCTACGTAGGGATACCCCATCTAGTCTTAACGAGCTTTGATGCGTGAAAAAATTCTAAAACAATGCTTGAACAAGTAATTTTGGGTCCATACTATAGCCCAAATCACAAAAATGCCCGAAAAAGTACTTAAAGGTCAAAATTTGGGGTCGACAAAAAGTCAGTGGAAAAGTTCCATTGTCCTGCTTCTTTCGTCGGAGGGCTCTCTTTGGGCTTTCCAAAAAGGTATCACATGCTAAGGTTGGCCTCACAGTATAAAAGTTATAGAGTCATAAAGTTTTACCAAAAAAAAACCAAATTAAAAAAAAGAGGGATGCAACACGAGGACTTCCCGCGAGGTCACCCATCCTAGAACAACTCTCGCCCAAGCACGCTTAACTAAAGGTCAAAATTTGGAGTCGACAAAAAATCAATGGATATGTTCCATTGTCCTGCTTCTTTCATCTGAGGGCTCTCTTTGGGCTTTCCGAAAAGGTATCACATGACAAGTTTGGCCTCACTGTATAAGAGTTATAGAGTCATAAACTTTTAACCAAAGAAAAAAATTAAAAAAAAAAAGAGGGATGAAACACGAGGACTTCCCGGGAGGTCACCCATCCTAGTACTACTCTCACGCAAGCACGCTTAACTGCAGAGTTCTAATGGGATCCAGTGTATTAGTGCTGGTATGATCGCATCCGTTAGTATATGCAATGCAATCGTATATATTCTTTTTTGAAGACTTGATGAACCATTCGCCGTGAGTCCCACCCGCTATGTAGGGATACCCCATCTAGTCTTAACGAGCTTTGATGCGTGAAAAAATTCTAAAACAATGCTTGAACAAGTAATTTTGGGTCCGTAATATAGCCTAAATCACAAAAATGCCCAAAAAAGTACGTAAAGGTCAAAATTTGGAGTCGACAAAAAGTCAATGGAAATGTTCCATTGTCCTGCTTCTTTCGTTGGAGGGCTCTATTTGGGATTTCCAAAAAAGTATTACATGCTAAGGTTGGCCTCACGGTATAAAAGTTATAGAGTCATAAAGTTTTAACCAAAAAAAAACAAATTAAAAAAAAGAGGGATGCAACACGAGGACTTCCCGGGAGGTCACCCATCCTAGAACAACTCTCCCCCAAGCACGCTTAACTAAAGGTCAAAATTTGGAGTCGACAAAAAATCAATGTATATGTTCCATTGTCCTGCTTCTTTCATTTGAGGGCTCTATTTGGGCTTTACGAAAAGGTATCAAATGCCAAGTTTGGCCTCACTGTATAAAAGTTATAGAGTCATAAAGTTTTAATCAAAGAAAAAAATTAAAAAAAAGAGGGATGCAACACGAGGACTTCCCAGGAGGTCACCCATCGTAGTACTACTCTCGCCCACGCACGCTTAGGTTCGTGCTCCCATCACATAAATTCTTTTCATATTGTCACACATCAATCATCATGAATCTTATCGTTATATCATAGCACACAACACCAAACAATCGACATATATCCAATCATATAGTTTCTAAACCTATACAAGTATATCATGAAAAATATGCTTAGAAAGCAATCAATGTATTTCCGCAAATCCTGCCCTTGCCTTTTAAAGACGAAGAACAACTCACTTAAGTGTTACCAAAACGCGCTAGTAACTTCACAATGGACCGTTCACTTCTTAATCCCACCGTTGATTCTCAACCCTATAGTGCCACGAAACTGCCCAACAAAATTCATCCCGATTAGAATTTGTTAAGATCTAAAGATGACACATTGAATCTGTGTATCTAGGGTTTCAGGAATTGGCAGAAACAGCAATTTCTTGCTTAAGAAGTAATCGTCGTGGTGATTATGATTTACCTTTTCCGACGACTTTGACGGCTCAGATAACTTCCCTAACACTTCCTCTATCAAAAACCACCATAGATATTTTCTATGCGGCTTAGGTATTACCGGAAATATCCTCCAAAAACTCCAACTTGAATATAAAATATTTAGCTGAAATAACTTAGCTTTTCTGAAAACAGAACCAGTGATTTGTCATCAACTTGCGAGATGAATTGTGAATGCAATATACCTCCGTTTGATAAACCGTAAAATTCTATGGACTCCTTGCACCAAGATGTATCCCGAGACGCTAAAATCTCGATGTAACTCTCTTCGGTTTGACGGGTAATTAGTCCTCAAAACCCTTCCATGTCACAGTTTTCTCTTCTTCTTCTTCACGAACAAAACCTAGATTTAAATCTATCAAAACAAAAACTTGCAGAAGAAGAAGACATAAACATGTTAGGTTTCCTTACCCAACAAACCAATGATGACAAGGCTCAACTCCGGTTAACACCGGCCACAACTTCAATGAAAGACGGCCACGTACAAAGCAACGATAGTGACTTTTCCCACTACGATCCTTCTTTGTCTCAGTCTTTGTCTCTCCCTCTCTCTCTCTCGTTTCTTCTCTTGGCGGAGTTTCTAAACGAAGAGGGAGATGATTACGCTTATACACATATACGGCCACAAGAAACGATCTAACCCTTGTCGTTTTCATAACTTTGCTCTCCTTTGGCTTAGTGGACTGCAACATTTCATTTTATTAAACTAAATAGCTCATCAATTGAGATTGTGGATGTTACAATTCTCCCCAACTTAAATGGAATTCATCCACGAGTTCAGCACTTACTATTGAATTATGATTTCATCGTTATACGGCTTGAACTATTCAAAACATAACTCTCGAAAAGATTCAATTGACCTTTAATGAATCAAATATCATGTAGTCTTGCAATTACTAAATGAATCATAAAACTTAAACTCCAAATACGATAAGAAACATAATTCAAACATAAATCTAGTTTCGACATAAATTAATCGCCTCTTCCCAATGCCGGTCTTTTTGGAGGTGGCGGTAATTGCTCCTCATTTCGGTCGACTTGTTGCCTCTTGCAATCTCTAGCATGGTGACCACGCCGCCCACACCTATGACAATGATCAAGTCCTCTTGGACAATTCTCTCTGCTATGCTCCAAATCACCACATTTCGAGCAACCTCATGAGATCATCCAGCAAACTTCGCTATGTAGTTTTCCACAAGTAACACACATATGAGCTTGCTCTCGCATCTGGTTATCCCAGGTCCTTTTGTGAGAACCCACCCTCTTCGTAGCTTCCGCCATCTCTTTTTCCAGCCCAATTTCCAAATTAGCAGCTTTTTCTACTAGCTCAGTCATGTTGGGGGTAGTAGTTCATCTCACAGTGATTCTGAAGTTCAATCCTCATACCCCTAATAAACATGCGAACAAGCTCCTCCTCATCTAAGGTTCGGCTTGAAAACCTGCTCAACCAGTCATGTTTCCTTGACAAAGCTTTGAAAACTCGTGCTCCATCCGGTAAATTGCCTCTCTAGGAAAATACTTCCTTGAAAATTCTGCCTTGAAATCCACCCTAAGTCAACTCATATTGCCCACGC